CAGCTGTTGTGTTTTATTTTTAACAGCTCACTTCCCGCCTTATCTCTGATATACGTACGTAAACAAGTTGTTGACAGTGCTGCTTGACTAGTGCTGCAATCTGGTGGATTTTAGTGGTATTATAGGTCAGTAATGGTCCCGATCAGTTCCGTTCGTAGTTTCAGTAAAACTCGTGCTTGCGGAAGCTTACGTAATGCTTACGTACATTATGCGTATCATTATAATTGTGATTTTTGGTGGTTATTTACTTGGTAGTGTTGAATAAGTAGTAAATATTAGTCGTAATGGCTGGTGACATGCTTGAGGATGACGATTTATTAGAGTTGTAGACTTTATTGTAGGCCTAATTTTTATTATAGGCCTAACTCAAGAAACCCCCGAACCCCCCCCCCCCAATCATAAAATTTTAGTATTGTTAAAGCTTAATGTTTTTGAAGATGTCTACAAACAACATTGATAAATTTTCTTAAAAAAAAAACAACTGGTGCAATTTTTTAAATCACAAGTAAAAATCGTCAAAAAACGGCAAAAATAAGTGGCAATGGCGGATTTAGACTAGGCTACTTAGACGGCGGTTAAGGGGTTAAGCCACTGCTTTGCATGGATAATGCAGATGTGTTCATAGGCAAATCCAACTTAAACAGATTGTTTATTAAACTAGCAGAAGCAATGAGCTGACCTGTTGAATTGAAAACTTTGGCTCCATCACTATTGAATACCACAGAGTTTCCTTTATTTACAATTTGACTCACTGATAAAAGATTAACTTTTAAGTTAGGCACATAATGTACATTACTTACATTCACTTCTGAGACCTTACCAAAAATACATATTGGAAGCTCCAAATCACCGACGGTATCAGTCACCATTGTCTCATTATTTGCTGTGGTGATTGTTAATGCTTTGCCTTTTCTTGCTTTCAGAAGCATGTTAACGTCAACACATAAATGACAAGATGCACCGCTGTCTAAAAAGAACTCATTACTAACGCCCGATTGCATTGAAAATGCAGCAAAGAGTGACGTATTAGATGTACCGGAATTTACGTTATTTTTGCCCACTACTCTTGTAGATGTACAGTTCTTTGAGATGTGACCGTAAACATTGCATTTATAACATCTCGGACCTTTCTTCACATTTTTGTCCGAACTACTCCTGTTTCTGTTCTTTTGATACACGTGTGATACACGTGTTCTTTTGTGAACTGTCCCTCTTGAACTGGAACCATACAGTGCAGAATCAGTTCCTGCTAAAGTCATATCACGTTGTACTGGAGACACATCTTGCAATAACTTTGTTTTTATCGCATCCGCCGTGACTTTATTGCCTGAAGATTCAATTCCCATTATCATTGGTTCATACCGGGTGGGTAAACCAGCTAGTAAGATTGTTCCAACCCATTCATCGGTCACCTTCAGACCCACATTTGTAAGCTTGTGAGCAGTTGTGATTATGCGGTTCACGTATTCCTCAACAGAACTACAATCTTCCAGCTTTGTAGTTATTAGAATACAGAGAAGTCCAACTCTCCTGCTTAATCCATCATCTTGAAAAGCCTTCATTAAATTGTCCCAAGCTGCCTTTGCGGTGGTTGTGTTTTGAATATGTACATAATTCACCGGATCAACCAATAAGATCAGCTTTGACCGACATTTAATGTCCTTTTTCTTATCCTGTTCTACACCAGATACACAGTCCCACAGATCCAAATCTTCCAGGCAAGCTTGTACTGCAAATTTTCATGTATCAAAATTCTCACGACCTTTAAGCCTTTCAATTGGTAATGAATTTTGAGCCATATCGTTGTTACAAACTTATGAAGTTGGTATTCTTTAAATGAAGCACTGAATAAAATAATCTGGGCCCATAACCTGTTGTAAATGGACTTAAATTATGTAGAATGATAAAGAGAAAGGTGTTTTAGGTACAAGTTTTACTCAATACAAAACCACAACATAGCTTTCCACAAAACACATCTGGTATCCATGACAACTAACTAATACACAGAACACATGTGATAGCAAAATGAACTATTCACACAAATCATATTTCAACAGGTCACAGAGGACCGCCAATTGAGCGGAGCTAAGAAAATAGTAAACAAATATCTTTCGGTAAATTTGTATATATATATTATGCCCAAAATTTCCCATTCCCCATTTAATGGGTTTGTCCTTGTAGGATTTAAATAGGATCCTTCCTTTGAACCTAATTTTTTCGACTTGACTACAATTTTTTTAATAAAAAATCCAAGGCACTTACCATTTAACTTTGTTTGATATCTCTTATAGTTTTTGAATAAAACGGCTGGCACACTTATATCAATCACCCTGTATATCTATTTATTTTTAAGTAGGCTAAGATATTTTAAAAATGTGACTTTGCCCATTGCATACGTACATGTTTAACGGCAATAAACGATTCTTATTCTTATTCTTATTAACAAATTATTGATTAATCTCTAACGATTAAGAAGTCTAAAACCCATGATCACACTAGAAAGAAACAAATAAGTGCATTCTCAAAGTTTGTCCACCTCTCTTAGTTAAATAAATCAAATCTAATATGTAGTTTGCATTTAATGGGTTTAATTAATTGTCAATCAAAAGAAAATATTATCATAATGATCGCAGGTAATAATGTTTTTTTTTAATAATTATAATAATAATTTATAATTAGCCAATGAATTTTGTTCTCAACTAATACAATGTTTATAAGCTATCTATGTACTAGGCTATAAAGAATTAATTACATAACTTCGCAATGCTTAGAAGAACGTGCGTTCTTTCAAAATACGAATTAAACTATGAGGTCAATGCGGTACCAGCCTTCAACGCTGGTGACGCAATGCCCGCATTTTTAGACCTTCAGCAACTCTCATTTTATAAACATTTATTTACAAATTATAGGTTGTGTGCCCAAGGTCTAAATCCCGCAAGGTCTAAAACAGTATCAGTGGGTGAGTTTTCTGCATTGACTGTACTTTTAGACCTTACGGGATTTTGAACTTTAGAACTTATGCATACTGCCCGTTTAGACCCTCAGCAACAAGTACTAAATGCAAAAGTGTGCCGAAGGTCAAATTAGACCTTCCGGTGTTTAGACCTTCAGCAACTGATTCGTATTTGCCTTTTATAATATTATAGATATCTATATAAATAAAATTACAGTTTTGTCTGTACATTGCGTCGAATAGAATACATTACGTAATCTGCCCCACAGGCTGTTTAAGATCCAGTCATTTCCTAATGGAAGTACTGCTACAGTGTTTCTATGAGCTGTTTTAAATATACCAGCTGATGTATACATTGTGGATTTGTTTGTTTATTGATTTTAGTGTTCTGTTTTAGGTTAGAATGGTAATGCAGTGTTGAAATGTATTTTGTTAGGGGAAGACCGCGACTACGAGAAGAGTATTTAAGAATGGTCCACAGCATAGGGAATGGTTATGGACAGGACAGAAAAATAATATTTGTTGGATGAGATTTTAACCAGCTAATGTCTGTTGTCCCAAGCAAAAAAAAAGGTTCAAATAATATAACATAACAAGCATAGTATATCATAGTAAAGGGAGTATACATAAAAAACAGTAAAATCTGGATGTAGATTTTGTTTCTTTACGTTTATTAAACTAACTTAAATAAATATGTGCGTCAATGCCGATGAAAAGGAATTTGGTGATTCGCTTCAACAACTGGGAAATGGAACCCTAGCCAGTGTCAAAGTATTTAGAAATAAATCGATGATTAGTTTTTTTTTTACAGGATGTAACAGTGTTTTAACAGTAACACAAACTACATTTACTCACAAACAATTGTATTTTTTGTCTTAAGCAGATTAAAAAGCAGATAGAAAATTAATAAAACAAACCAAGGCAAACAAAGAGAAAGTTTTCACTCAAAAGATGGAACATGGACATTACATTTACATGGATATCTAACCTGACACATTGATAAATTCATTCTTAGTTTGTTTAAATATTACAATAATTTCTTTTACATTTGCGACTTTAGGGACTTCCCTCCCTACAAGCCACTAGTTTATTTTAAACCGTATGATTTAAATTTGATTTCTGTAAATAATAAATCAATTAGATTCTGTAAGTTTTTTTAAACCCGTCCTTATGAAATCACGTATCTGGATCCGGATCCCTTAGGCCGGCCGCACACCTGATACAGAACGGCACAGCAAGGCGAGGCGAGACGTCTTTGCCTCGCCTTGCCGTGCCCGATGGAGATTTGAGATGCATACGGCACGGCACGGCAAGGCAACTTGAGCACCCTCATGGTCGATCCCATGGTTTCAGTAAAGTGAGATACTGTGTGTTATGAGGTTGTTTGTACATTTTGTGACACTTTGTACAACACATTTTGTGAGAATGGATGCAGAAGGCGAAGAAGAGGCTGCTGCCATCGCTGCTATATGGTACCATTGACTGTAGTGTTTATATAGTCAATGATGGTACCTAATGAATGTAATGGATGATCTCCCTAACAGAGAATCGTGGGTGCATCCCATCAACCAAAAAAGGAACTTGAAACCATTCATTGCAGAACTAAGAGCAGATCCGGAAAAAATCATAATTACTAATCGTTGAGAGTGCATACTGATTTTGACAGGGGCTGTCACTGCGCTGAACGTGGTGTCGATCCTCGCTCATCGTTTTGCCTCAAGCCTTTTGCCCGAAAGACGAAAATTGAAAAGACAGAACAAAGCGCCGTACGGCGCTGTTTTGCCTTGCCTTGCCGTGCCCGATGATGTGTGCGGCACCCCCATTTGAAATAATATAAATCTAGTCGCATAAGGCGCCTTAAGGCAAAACGACGCGCCGTGCCGTGCCGCATCAGGTGTGCGCCCGGCCTTACAGATCGATTTTTTCAAGATCCGGATCCGGTAACAAAATTTTCTTGGATCTGCCCATCACTAATGAGAATTATCCGTTACTTGCACAATATATTGGAGACATTTAAAAAGTCAAGTAACAAATGATGATACTTTACCCAAAGCAATGTCTCGTTGTTTCACAATACGTCCATAAAAGTCAGAGATGAGAACTGAAGTCATTTCCCTGTGAGATGGTTTGTGGTCAAAAGCAATTTCAATGGCAAATTGGATTATCTACAACATAAATTAGACAAAAAATCAACAAGGTCAAAACTTAATAACACTGGTTCTTGTTTTGGAAACAAATAGTGTGAAACAAAGTATACTATGAAAGTATCAACTCATACTTTCAAAGAAAACACCTATGCACAGCTTTCACATAATTAACTTTTACACATCCATTGTTTCTTCTGACAATAGATTTCTATAGAGATTGAAATGTTTAGAACTTACAGAAACATTCATACAGGGTGAGTTTTAATTGTCCCCCCCCCCCAACATTTTTCTACATTTTTTCAAATATCAATCCCAGACCACTTCCAAACATTGTTGGGTAGTAAGTACTTCATTTTGACAAGTTGGCCATTTCCGGCCGCCATCTTGGATCCGCCATATTGGATGCAAATTTTTTTTTTCAAATGTAAAGGTGGGGTTGTGACCCATTATTTCGAACAACATTTTTACCCTGATTACAGTGCCGCAAACCGTTTAAAAAAATCTTGATTCATTCTAAAGTTATGACCCATCATTTCGAACTACTTTATTAAGCTGAAGACAATGCCGCAATCCATTTTTTGTTTTCAAGTTTTATTTATGAAATATTGAAATTTTTTTGTTAAAAATGTCAATATTTCAAAATCAAAAAATGAAAATGAAAAACGGATCATGGAATTAAGTTCAGCTTAAAAAAGTAGTTCGAAATGATGGGTCACAACACCCCCTTCATATTTAAAATAATTTATCACATTTCAAAATGGCGGATCCAAGATGGCGGCCGAAAAAAATACATCAGTCATAACCAAGTGAAAATAGGTCGACAATGACTGGAAGTGTATACTTATCTTTATCTAGCACTATTTTGAGATTATGGTCTTAGTTTGTAAATGCACAATGTTAAAATGGGCTAAAAATAAAGTTTTAAAAAGCCCTCATAACTTTAGAATGAATCAAGATTTTTTTAAACAGTTTGCGGCATTGTAATCAGGGTAAAAATGTAGTTCGAAATATTGGTCACAACCCGAAACATTTGAAAAAAAAATTTTGCATCCAATATGGCGGATCCAAGATGGCGGCCGGAAATGGCCACCTTGTCAAAATGAAGTACTTACTACCCAACAATGTTTGGAAGTGGTCTGGGATTGATATTTGAAAAAATGTAGAAAAAAGTTGGGGGGGACATTTAAAACTCACCCTGTAGAATTAATTTCACACTGGGCAGGAGCATACATTTTTTAATTTACCTTATCAGCTAATACAACAGAACTAACTGTCGCATAGAGGTGGGGACTTATTAGAATAGAGGTGAAGTAAATTAAATGGTCCAAGTTTCAAATTTTACCAAGCTCCCATGTCTGTGACTGGAGTTTGTTCAGGATCTTAACGTATTAAAAAACCACCATACAGTTCAGTTAACCTCCTGTGTCACTGTTTATCAAAAGCGTTAATGAATGTAAAACCCAGTGCTAGTATTAAAAAAATTTAAATGCTATTTTTTTAGGAGATACTCTAATAGGGGACCCTCCACTGCATTAGGCCCTGTTACAAACAATTCCAGATCTAGCTCCAATCAATTTAATTTTAATTTATTTCATGTAAATGAATGTCTTTAAGGAATAAGTTCAGTGAATTGGCTTTAGTATTAGAGGAATCCCATTGCAGCATTGCATTATTGAATGAACATTGGCTTCATAGAGATGAAATTAGGCTGTATATTCCCCAGGGCTATACCCTCGCAAATTCCTTTTGCAGAGAGGATAATCCCCTATGACCATTTTAAGTGAAAATATTTCATATGATAAGATAGATATTTCACGCCTTGTTCACACTGGTTCATTAGAAGCATCATGTACTTACATTAATAATTTCAATGTAACTTTGATACCCTCTGAACAGAACCCCCGTTTCTGATTGTAATTTGTTTTAGCGAATTTCCCTATAGGGAAGTAGCTATTACCGTAGGTCTCATGGTAAGACTTAGGCCCGGAACCGATTTACTTTTTCATTTTAATGTCCCCAGAGGCCAAAAACACCATTCGTTCAAATTTTTATATATGTATATATATATATATAGGTATATCTAATATATAAAATTCTCGTGTCACAGTGTTTGTCTGCAAACTCCTCCGGAACGACTTCACCGATCGTTATGAAATTTGGTGTGTAAATTCTGTAGGTATGCGAATCGGACGTAAACTATTTCCCGTTTCGAAATTCTTAAAAGGGCTCCGCCCCAGTGGCTCTGGAGTTTCCCATGTTAACCTTATGAGAAATGGAATTAATGAATCTTAACAGCTGTTTCAATTAAACAAGTTGGTTCTGTTCCATGATGTTCAATAGCATTAAAGTTACAAGGATTACCAACAGGGTGCAGCACTATTATTTCTTTTACATTTATAACAACAGCTAATTTGCAACCAAAAGGTGACTGAGCGTAGCGAACGAACTTCAACCTGGAGGCGAGTTAGCGTAGCGAACGAGCTAACCTGAAGGCAAGTAAGCGCAGCGAACGAGCTCCAACCTAAAGGTGAGTGAGCGTAGCGAACGAGCCCCAACCCAAAGGTGAGTGAGCGTAGCGAACGAACTTCAACCAGGACGTGATTGAGCGATGCGAACGAGATCATCTTGAAAATTAAACGTAACGGTACTTTCTTTCCATCGGTCTGTCTTAGGGGAAACCTATAACTTAGGCGATACGAAGTTCGCCGGGTCAGCTAGTATATATATAGATTTATATATATAGATATATGTGTCCGTGAACACGATAACTTGAGTAATTTTTATCCGATTTTGATGACATTTGGTTTGAAGGTGTAAGGCGGGATAAACTTGAATGAGTTCGCGATCCAGCATGATCGGACCATGGGAACAGGGTTTTATGGGGGGTTTTATGGGGTAAAAATGGGTTTTTCTCACTTTTTACCCTCAAAACACAAAATTTCCCAATTTTTCTCTAAACCTTCTTAAAGAGCTTACAAAAACAAACAATTCAGTATATCAAAGTGTTTTTGTACGGTTATTGGTTACGGAGAAAACTAAAAAAATGGTAAATTTAAAATTCCCATGTTATTCTTATGGAGAATATTGTAAAATGTTGTAGTTTGCTTGTTTATGGATATATTTTGATCAAAGTTAGCAAATTTATTTATTTTATAGTAAGCTATCAATATTTTACTAAAAACACACTACTTTATTAGTTTCCTTGTAGCAGCAAACCTAGGTACTCGTTAAACCTAATAATGTTATTTAAATAGATCAATTGAAAATCAATTCGGACAAATGGAAATTCGCTTAGACGGCAGGTTTGCTGCGGCGGGGGTATTTATCAATTAGAGAGCCTTTTTTTTTGCTCGTATCCACGCCAGTGGCATTTTTGTAATGAAGTCAAACACTTTTAAGGGAAAGCGGTCCAAACCCATTTAAGTTTTTTTTTTGTGGATGTGCCAGGTCCCTCCCGCACCGAAGTCCGAGATGCTAACCGCTAGGCTAAATTAATTTTAAGAGCAGATTTTAATGTAGATTTTTTAAAAGAACGATAAATCTACAAAAATGATTGTCAATGTCTTAAAGTCGTTTAATTTAATTTATATCTATATAAATAAAATTAGAGTTTTGTCTGTACATTGCTCAGAATCATAAATTTTTAGGTTATTTTTACGTTTTATACATTAAAGAAGCCGAAACAAGTCTCATCCAAATTTCTGTCTGTCTTTCTGTCTGTCTGTAACACTCAAGATAAAAATGAAATACCCAACTAAAGGGAACAAATTTATTACAAATATTGCAACTAACATTGAGCCAAACTTATTTCAGTCTAAAGTTTTGAAAGAGCAAATATCTGATCACCATATTTTACACTTTCAAGTAGTTTATTTATGCCTGATGTTATCAAAGAAGTTTCTTTTAGATTGTAAAAATAAACGGTATCAGCATTCTGACACATACTTTCTCCCATAAGTTTGTCAACAACCTTTATCGTGTAAGTGGTGAGAGTAAATATACAGAATTGGGATTAGTACAATTTTGTTCAGAATTTAAAGGACTACATACAAAATTTTTATCAAAATTGTTCGGGCCATTTTTGTGAAAATCCGATTTTCCCGTTATTTTATGGGGTTTTTATGGGAAAATAACATAATTTACAATAACTTTTGAACCGTAATTTTTACAGAAATGGGATTTGTACCATTTTGTTCAGAATATAAAGGACTATAACATACCAAATTTTTTTCAAAATCGTTCGGGGCCGTTTTTCAGAAAATCCTACTATTCCGTTATTTTATGGGGTTTTATGGGAAAATTCCCATTAAAAATTAATTTTTTTTTAAATGAAAAAACTATCAAAAGTTTAAGGACCATAACATAGGCCTACTATGATAAATTAAAACCGGATTTTTTTCTAAAATCCTATTTTTTGTTATTTTATGGGGTTTTTATGGGAAAATAACATAATTTACCATAACTTTTGAACCATAATTTTTACAGAAATGGGATTTGTACCATTTTGTTCAGAATTTAAAGGGCTACAACATACAAAATTTTTATCAAAATCGTTCAGGCCATTTTTGAGAAAATATGATTTTTCCAGTTTTTTATGGGTTTTAATGGGAAAATCCCCATTAAAAATCAAAATTTCAAAAAAATGAAAAAAAACGCCTGGAGATACCATGGATTAGAACCTACATACCAAATTTCATTGAAATCGGACCACAGGTGTAGTCCCTAGCTCTGTACACATCCAGACACACAGACATCACTTCGAAAACAACTTTTTTGGGTCCAGGGGGGGCCAAAACAAATATATCCACTCAAAACTCAAACTCGAAAATTTTGACGAAAACAATACTTTCTCCATATACTATGGTATAGGGGGAGAAAGTAAAAAGAAAGGATTAATATATTTTTGTAGAGTTTTAAGTGTCATCAATTGGGAACCAATTTTTCCGATTGCTGATGTTAATGTTGCTTTTTCTTTTTACATGTTTCATATACTGTGTTCTGAATTGTTACAACTATCACTGCCCTAGATTATCTTAGAGAGCAAGACAGGGCTACAAAGTTAGTACCTACAAAGTTAGTACAAAAAATAACTTATGGTTTTATGTGTCAATAAAATGAAGAATACTCTTTTACTCCTCAAGGATTTGACTAAAATACCCGCTTATCAAAAAAATTTTTTTTTCCTTAAAAAAAATGTCTATCATCTTACAAAAAAAATCTTATCTTACTAATATTATAAATGTGAAAGTTTGTGTGTTTGTTTGTTTGAATCTCAATCACGCCTAAACCACTGGATGGAATGGATTGGGCTGAAATTTGGCATGATGATAGCTCACGTTCCCGATTAACATATAGGCATATTCTTATCTCAAAAATCCTTTCGTGCTCCGCCCCAGTAGCTCTGTAGTTCCCCATGTTAACCTTATGAGTATTCATATTTAAAGGGAATTAAAGAATTAAGTCAGCTGTTTCAACAAAAAAGTTGGTTCTATGATATGCAAAATTATTAAAAAGTTATTAGCGAATTTCCCATATAGGGAATATTAGCGAATTTCCCATATAGGGAATAAGCTATTACCGTAGTACTCATGGTAAGACCTGGACCCGAGACCGATCTGATTTTTCATTTTGAGGTCCCTTCTGTTCAAATTCATATATATATATATATATTTATATATATATTTATATATATATTTATATATATATTTATATATATATATATATATATGTCCGTTAGCGCGATAACTCGAGCAAAAATGATCCGATTTTGATGAAATTTGGTACAAACGTGTAAACCTACGTTTATTCGAACGAGTTCGCGATCCAGCATAATCGGACCATGGGAACGGGGGATTATGGGGGGTTTTATGGGGTAAAAATGGGTTTTTCCCATTTTTGAACCTAAAAACAAAAAAATTTGCGATTTCTTTCTTAAACGTTTTGTAGAGCTTAAAAAAAGAAATAATTTAGTATATTGAAGCGCTGTTGTATGCCTAACGGTCACGGAGAAAATTCAAAAATAGTGTAATTAAAAATTCCCATGTTATTCTTATGGAGAAAATGAAAATTGTTGTAGTTTACTTGTTTATGGGTATATATTGATAAAATTTGGCAAATTTATTTATTTCATCCTAAACTATTGATGTATGGTCAAAAACACTTTTTACCTTCCCCGTAGCAGCAAACCTGAGCACTTGTTAAATCTAATGTTATTTAAATAGGGAATAATATGTCTTATTTATGGAAATATTTTAGTAAAAATGTAATTAGACAAGTTGAAATTCGCTTAGTCTGCAGGTTTGCTGCGGCGGGGGTATAAGATTGACCAACAGGGTGCAGCAATATTTTATTTTTTTGCATTTATGAAATCACCTAATTTGAACTAAGCAGCAACAACAAACTGTGATAGGCAATGAGAACTGTCAAAGTAGGTTTGTTTACAGTTATGTTTATGTTTTTAACCTCATTAATAATTTGTTATTTTTTGAGAATTTTTAATAATTTATTTTTCTTTATTGTTTATGTGAAGTGGTAGAACATGATGGCTATGGTAGATGTGTAATACCATAGTATACTGTAAATTTAAAGAAGCAAATTTTGTCTAACTGTGTCCTCCCCCATTGCAAAAGCAAAGCTTGAGTATAACTGCAATAAGCGTTTTACCAGCTTATATGCCAACCCCGTACCAAGTACGGGTACTCTGCTAGTAAATAAATAAAGCTAGAATTAAAACCGCTAAGATTAAAATATAATGATTATTTTAATAATTCACAAAGCAAATGTAAGGCTGCATAGGAAGTGGTTAAGTCAGAAAGTGGTTTATTGTTTAAAAGTGAAAAGTCGGAGGTCCTACATTGATGTAAGAAAACAAATTTTAGATCAGTTTTCTAATGGAAGGGGAAGTGGTTTGAAGTTTTACAACTTTTTAGATGAGGAAAATATTTCTATTATAATTTTTTTCTGGAAGTCAGTGACATCAATTGAAATATTGAAGATACAAGATCACTTAGTTCCTCTAATTCGGAAGATTGTTAAGGCTTTTCTAACATAATTGTCAAAAATATTGCTCCATACATTTTAGAACCCTTAACTTAACTAGTTAATATCACCTTATTAAATTTCACATTTCCAAGTTGTCTGAAAATATGCGAAACAGTGGCAATCTTCAAGAAAGGATATATATTGTTTATTTATAATTATCGTCCCCTTTTGATGGTTCAAATTCTTTTTGAAAACAATAGAAAATTGTGTTAAAATCCAGCTTTCTGATTTTTGATAAAATAATAACATTTTGAATAGCAACCAATTTGGCTTTCGGTCTGGATACTCCAACACTTTAGTTGTTGAATCCTTAGTGTCAGATTTTCTGGATACATTTTAATCTGGCAACTGGGACAGGTGGCGTCGTCCTGTAATCCAGCTACTAGGAGGTTACGAATTGTGGATATTTATAGGCATTGAATATTGAATTGGAGCTGAAATTTAGTTTTTTGTTTATAACAACTTCATTTTCGTCAGTATTTTTATGAGCTTTTTATATTTCATATTCTTCTAACATGTCCAATTTTATGCCTTTGTCACGAATTTGAAGTGCTTCTAGACTGTCTTCTATTATTCTGAATGAGTGGTTCTTGTCAATTATATGTTGGCTGAAGGCTGTCTTCTGTTTATTGGTCCTAGGGTTGTAGGGTTGGGTCTATGCTCCTTAAATCGTGAGTTAAACCTGCGACCAGTTTGGCCTATATATATGCTTGGACAGTCTGCACATTTTAATTTGTAGACACCAGTTTTGTTATTAGCGTTCGCTTTTACATTAGGCGTTTTGTAATTCAGCAAGTTTTTTGTTTTATTTCTCGTGTTGAAGACTAGACTTGATTTTTGAATAAAACAAAAAACTTGCTGAAAACTTTTCAATAAACTTCCCATTCCATTTAAAGAAATTGAAAACGTAAACCTTTTCAAATCAACATTATCAAAATAGCTAATCAGCCAAGTCTTTTTACCATAGGTGATTTTTTAAAACACAAATTACTCCAAATTCTTACACTATTGGCCACTAGTGGGCCTGCATGACCAAAACTCTTCTTTCTAAATTTCTCGAATATTTACAAATTATTTGTTTGGTTTTGAATAATTATTTACTTAAGTTTTTATAAATTTACGTAAGAGCATTCCACCTTAGAATTTTAAATTTAAATGTCTGTTCAGTTTATGCAACAAAATATTTTGTGTGCTTCATGTGATGATAGATTTAAGCATATGTTGTCTGACTAATGTTGTCTATTGTAATTATTTACTTTTGCTAAATGACAAGATTATTATAACAACTCAATTGTAATTAATATTACTCAAAATCAAAATTCATAAGTAGTAAATGCAATGAGGAATAGAGCATTGTGTGCCATAGAGAAGAAACGTTTATGGATTATTTACAGTGAGTCATTTCAATATAGTACAACTAGTTTACAAAACAAATCGATTGCAAACATACAATAAATATTTTGAAGGGAGTAAGATCTCTATCAAAGTAGTCAAAGTCTCTATGAAGTAAAATTACATGTTTAATTTAACTAATTAATTATAATATAAAACAAATTACTTTTCTTTGTTATGATAAACATAGAGAATATGATATAATGTATTGTCTTACCAAAAAAGAGTCTTTTGTAATGTTGAGATCTTCAAAAGCAGCAGCAGCTTCATCAGTATCCCCATGTTCATAGTACTCCAATACGATTGATTCTGTACTTTTCTGAAATATCAAAACAACAAAATGTAAAATATAGGTACCTACCTACTAGTGGCAACCTCTAACCTCTAAAATAGCCACAATATAACGGTGTAAATTATGCTACATTACACAGTATAGCAAGGTGTACAGAATTCATTGATTGTGTAATACAATACAAAATAATACAAGTGCAGGAGGGCACGGTGCGCATTTGAGCTGTGTCCACATTTTGTTAAATTAATAGTATACAGCAACTGGATAAAACATTTTACAATATTTTTGTAGAAATATGTGTAAGATTTAGAAAGTCATTAAGCTAGAATACTGCACACCATTCAGAGAGGTTACTTCGATGTATTCATTCAGCTTAGTGAAAACATAATATATATATGTATGTATACAAATACAAATAAGAACTTGAACTCTTAGAGAGCCTTTCAATGTTATTAGACTAACGAAAAGGGTTGTGCATGTTTACTAGCGCTACTCAGCAACAAAAACCATTTAATTTATCTCTAAAATATATATTATTAAAGTGAACTGAGCAGCAGTCTAAAAAAAATCTATTTAACTTACCCATATAGTTACAAAATGCTCAAACTCGCATTGTGACATTTCTAATTCGGATTATATTTCTCCAACAGAAAATTCATCTGCAGAATAATTTGATTGTGCTCTTACCGTGTCTAATAACATCCAAACACAGAAACCTTGCCTAAAATGGTAACCTTGACAAATTATTTACAGTGGCCTATATTACTGACCGTGGCCCACTGGATTGGTAACATTATTGAAAATAACACAAAAATAACAAGACATTTTGGCAGTAAAAATGGCCCAATGAGTAAATACTATTAAGCTACTGTCCTACTGTAAGCTACCTACTGTCATGACAGAAAGGTCATATTCCTTTTAAACTAGATCACATCATCCTTTACAAGATACCACAAAAAACATATGTTTTCAGTGAAGATACGTTGATTAACAATGCATGTAAACGTCAATATTTACGTGATAGCCAATTTACAATATTTTTGCTTTTTGGAAATGCCTCATTGCTATGTCATTTGCATTATTTGTTTCCAATGAAGCTGCACGACCATATAAATGAGGAGGCCCCAAACAGTTTGAGAATAAAAGCCAACTTCACTTCAAGTATATTCCACTACACCTAACATTCCGCAGAGAGATTATATTGACAACTTTATGTAATTGATAAGGCTGAGACAATTAACTGACATCCCCCATGTCTAGGAACTCTAGCTTTAACAGTAACCCCACAACCAATTTCTCAAAACTGTGCTAGAGGTTTATTCATTGGCACAGAAGTACGATATGAACTGACGTAACGTGGTGAAGGACAAATCAAACTTACACTGTAACGTATATACCTCCCTTTGAAGTTAGAATGTGTCTTCCCAACAAACAGATATTTTTTTCAAATAAAATCATAGATTAATCTGCATTACACTGATGAAATCACGAAAGTGTTTAACTTCAAAAGACCCACCAATACAATTTTAATACTATTTAAAGGTTCTTTCAAAGGAAGAGATACCAGATAACATACTATCTCCGATGACGTACGGTATGGAAAATATTTTATTCATTGAATGATCAACCATATTTGGTAACTAACACCACGGCCCCCTTTAACTACAGGCCACGGCCAACGAGAATTGGCAACGTCGCACTGAGCATTAACTCCCGGCCATTTCACCATTACGGTAGTACGAAACTAGTGGTCGCGGTTTAAATATACTGCATTTTTACACCCTTACAATTGAGATAAAATTTTAAAATTTTGTACAGAGCTAGGGAATAAACCCTTCATGCCAATGGTATGGTTTTGAAAATTAAAATTTTATTTGGTAGTACATATATATATTTTTAAAATTAACACATTAGAAAATTTTTGGAATAGTGAAGTGAAAAAGTTAGTCGCCTACTAAAATTTTTGTTTGTTGGTCAGAGAAGTTTCGTCTGTGAGAAAGTTATAGATAATTAAATATACCTTAATTTTTCTAAATATAAACTTTTCTTTCTATCATGCTTAGTTTTGTTAAAATTTTGGGTTGAACAGAGTGACCAAATCTCAGTTTTATGGCGCGGCGCGGCGAGTAGTGCTGCTCGCAACTGTATTGTAGGTTAGTTAAATGTGGAGTGGCGTTCAAAAGTGCAGCAAGCCTGGGCCATGCGTTCAAATTTTATTGTTAGGTTGCCATTAGTTAGGTAGTTTCAAGTTTTTTGAATAGTTAAGCAGTGGCAGTGATTAGTATGTCAACCAAGGATTTAAGGTGGACTGCATCATTGAACCACATTTGTATTTTGCATGTAAAGTTTAAAAAAAATGAAGCTCATAATGAGCATGTGGACTTGTATATTGCATGAAGATACCACCTTTGATTTGCATGAAATGTAAAGGGTTGAATTGTATATTATTTAAATATTTTAATAAAAAGTTGTATCACATAGCTTATAAATTAATTAATGTAGGCCAACTGAATTATTTCAAGCATTTTAATATGCCTTTTGGTGATCCACAAGAATATTACTTTTGTATCAAATACTGCACGACTTAATGTCTTCATAATTAAATACCGTAGCCTAAAACAAAAATGTCTTTTCCTTTTAGTTTTAATAATTTTGCTGTAGATTATTATGAATTTTAAGTATGTGTTTCATTTACACGTTATTATGTAGTATTATGAGAAATAAAAACATTACTTCATTCATTCTGTTATTGCGCAACTATTCATTAATAACTAATCCATTGATAATATTCTTGCAACAGACAATCGGAAGGTGGGGCTACCGAAAACTTTTAATTTAGCGCTCATCAACCAATAGTGGCGTGGCGACCACTATCTTCATTGAATTAGGTGGAATTAGCGAATAACTAAAATTAGCGACAACCTGTACCTATAATTAGCGTGCAGTTGTTCTTCTGTGTTGGCTGGTTTTTAGTGACCAGTGGTTTTTATGTCATCAAAAATTATTTTGAGAATGAGCAATATTTTTTTAAATATCTACACGAAAGTAAAAAATAGCAAAATAATAGCCACTGTAACTATTGAAAAATGTCAATCCTTTCTTGAATAAAATAATTTTATTTATTGCTTTTGTTAATTTTTACTTTGTATAGTAAACGTCATCATTCCAATGATAAAACAATAGCTTACACAAGCTGTAACTAAATAACATTGCAGATAGAATTTACATTTTAAGTGTTTAACAATTAATAAATCATAGAGTAAATACGTAGAAGAGACGGAAGAAAACTACAATCATGCGCCTACTTATACGTTCAATCAATACGTTGAGTGGTGGGGGAAGCCCCTGATGCTATTTCACCTGTTAATTTGTGCTCCTCAGTTTTTTATAAAATTAGCCTGGAACTTCTGTGCTTTACGAGTTGTGTTTTATATCTAAATATCCAGTTTTAATTTCTGTTCAAGATTTGGAAACCAGTTTTTTGTTTTAATAAACCGGTTGTAAAATATAAAGGAATTTTACTAATAAAATCAAGTCCCTGCAAATATCAGAGATAAGATTTGGCCAGAGATAAGATTTGGCCAGAGATAAGACGGCAGCTAGTAGCAGTACAGGAGCTGACCTTTGGAACAGATAAGCAGCTCTGCTTCTACATAAAGCAGGTTGTTTGTTAACATGTTACATAAAGTTTGACAATAGATAAGGAAACCTCTGACTCTACCAAAGTCGAATTGTTATTACTACACCTTTTCTGATTTGTTTACTAACATTTATATGTTAGTTTTTATAAAGTTTTAATTGATGCATGCTCATATTTTGTACTGGTAAATAGGAAATTGAATTTAAGATGAGATCTGAAAATCCTAAAGTTAGTCCCAATATAAAAATAAATCCTTCTATTAATACAAAGAGTTGTTTTCCTAATGGAGTACAAACCAGGGCCAAAACTAAATCTGCTAGCATTGAAAAACATCAAAATAAAAACAAGCTTGGCAAATCAACACCTGATAAATCATTACTAACAAATTTGAAAAAAACAGAAGCTTTAGTTGAATTAGTAAAAAATAAAGCTGCTATCTCCCACTCACAGGAGTCTCAAACGCAGACACATGTTCATATAACAAAACAAGCTGAAACTCAGACTGATATTAGTAGTATATCTATAGCAAGAACTGACGAACTATTAGGACAGAAATGGTTAACTCATGGAACTATTCAACCATATTTTGATATATTAAATTCATCCTTCCTCTCAAATCATGCAGCAATAGCAATTAATCCTGTAATCAGCCATGCGATAAAATGCATTGATGATTTTGCACACTTTGTCGAACCACTTAACCTTAAGAGTAAAGATTTTATTATAATACCAGTCAATGATTCGACAAGTCTAGACCAAGCAGGAGGATCCCACTGGAGTGTCCTCATTTACTCCAAGCAGGACCACCATTTCTATCACTATGACTCTATGGATGATTTTAACACAACCCATGCTAAGCTGATTAGTAAGAAGTTGGTACGTTTTATCGAAGATAAAAACGAATCCGGGTTTTCAAACATAAAAGGCCCAAAGCAGTTAAATAGTTATGACTGTGGTGTGTATATGGTGTGTGTAACAGAGATGTTGATATGTGACATTATGAAAAACAAAAAGATCAATTTACACAACATTCAGAATTTACTTCTCTCTGAACCTGACTTGATATTAAAACGATCTTGCATGGCTTATGTCATAAACAACACACTAATTTCAAACAGCACATTGCAGGAGCTCATCACTAAGCAGATCAGCAACCTAGTGCCAGATAAATCATCTGCACAGTCATTAGAAATTGTTTCATCTAACTGTACAGCCTCTCCTCAGTTTGGGATAAAGTCAGCGCACAACGAGGCCTGGACCCATGTTAAGTCTGGTAGAAAAGGTCATAAAAGGGAAGCTAAAGCATCACATGTAAACACTGTAAATCGTTTTAGCGTTTTAGGAAAACCTGAAAAAGTACCTAGTATAATTATGAAGACACCGTTCT